ACTAAAACGAGGCTCCGACGTGGGAAAGGGCTGGTGGTGCTGAACATGGCGTTGGAGGAACTAGACAAGGAAACCATAGACTGTCGTTTTATAACGGAGCTGAGGGACGACACCTTTGATCCAAGGAGGTGGCCCTGGAATAGAAATAGGTATCAGAAATGATCAGAATATCATATCACATGCGATAATGATCACAACCTTTGTCTTGTCAATCCTCCTCCATTTTTATGGATTGTATTCTGCAGGCGGGTTATTTTGTGAATAATAAAATCGTAAATATGTAAAGAACTGTTATTTGACCTGGTTTCATGCAGAGCGATGAGTTTACTTTCTGGACACCTATTCCTCGGGGAATTCTTGTGTAGAAATTGTCCTAAGTATGAGTGAATGAATGAATGCTTAAGTGCGTGCGTGCGTGCCTGAGTGAATGAGTGAGTGAATTGATTTCAACTTGGTATCGGCATGCATAGAGTAATGAGACCTATCTACACATACATTAATACAATAAACATAAAATAAAACAACCTGGTACAAATAACAGATTTATAATAGAACAAAACCCGTGAAGACGCGGGATAGAATTTATCTTCAGCAACCCATGCTTATCGTAAGACTAACGGGATCGGGTGGTCAGACTCGCTGACTGGGTTGACACATGTCATCGTATCCCAATTGCGTAGATCGATGCTCATGTTGTTGATCAGTATGTCTGGTCCAGAGTCGAATATTTACAGAGCGCCGCCAACCTGGAATATTGCTGAGTGTGATGTAAAACTAAACTCACTCACTCACCTCTTAGCAAGATGTTTAACAATAAACACTGGGGTGGGCTTTTCCCACCAATCTCTTCAGACAAGAGTACCACCATTCCAGATGGTTCCACTGGGATCTATGGAGGTCATCCTTGATCCAGTAGCTGGTGATGAAGTCACTGGTGTCTCGGCAGCGTGGGTCGTCGGGCACGGTCGCCAATGTGTCCAAACAGAGCTCTCTCAACCTTTAGATATAAAAAACCATTGATTAATACCATGCATGATACATCTACATACTGTGTTCACGGAGGTCTTTCCATATACATCCAAATTGAATGAAATATGTTCACCATTGTAAAATTCACTCTCACAGATGAGATTTTGAGTGAACTATGTTCACGCCTTACGCGATCCTTAAGTTATCGAAAATCTATTAGCGGATCAGCGTGACTCCAGCAACACCTTCAACATCAAAGTTTACAGCGGGTGTCCATAGCGAAATTTCAAAAGGTCGACTTCTTGTTCATAAACCGTAGAGACATCCTTGGACACCTAGCGCTGGATCCGGTCAAGGGTCATTAAGGTAACGAGGACAACACAGACAGAAGTATTTTATTAAAGTGTCACATGACAGTTACAATAGGTACAATCAAGGTAGTCAAAATATTTATATAAAAAAACTGTCATCCAGCCATAACTGGCTTATGAGACACTAAACATTTAAAACTTATGAAATATAAAAAAGCAGGTTTTAAATGGACAATATAAATAAAAAAACGTAGTGAGAATATACAATCGTTGTGACTGTTAAAATGGTATAGCATATACATTATATAAGAGCATTACATAATATAATAAGGTAAATTGTGCTTAAAATATTTTGAGAAAGTATATAAAAGTAGGCGCATGTAAATTGCGTCTCAAAAACATTTTTGCTATGTTACTGGCTAACATATGTACAAAATAGATATTTTCAAATTCATTGGTTTAATGAACAAAGTATTTTTATCATTTATAGCAATATCATTAAAAGTATAATAGGAGGCTAACAAATCGTATGTAAGATCAACCTAACATTTGCATTCACACAAGAAATGAATTTCACTTTCAACAACTTGTGTCAATACGATAGTATAGTAACAATTTGCATATTTTAATGTCAAACTTTCAAATGGATCAGGGATATCGAGTAGTATTCCAACAGTTCCAACCTTACGTCTTTCCATTTCTCCTCATCTGAGATACACGGGCGGTGGGGTAGACTTGTGGTTAAAGCGTTCGCTCATCACGCCATAGACCCGGGTTCTCTTCCCCACATTGTTACAATGTGTGAAGCCTATTTCTGTTCACCCCGCCGTGATATTGCTGGAATATTGCTATAGGCGGCGTAAACTCACTCACTCACTCACTCCTCCTCCCTCAATCACTCGCTCACTCCCTTACTCGCTCCCTCCCTCCCTCCCTCCCTCCTCACTCACTCGCTCACTCGCACACTCCTCACTCGCTCCTCCTCCCTCCCTCACTCACTCGCTCACTCGCTCACTCCCTCCCTCCTCACTCCTCCCTCCCTCCTCCCTCCCTCCCTCGCTCACTCGCTCCTCCCTCTCTTCCTCCCTCCCTCCTCCCTCTCCCTCGCTCGCTCACTCCCTCCTCGATCACTCACTCCCTCACTCACTCACTCACTGCTGCCCCACTCCCTTGCTCATTCCCTCACTCACACTCACTCCTCCCTACCTCCTTCCTCTCCTCCCTCTCTCACTCTCCTCCCGCACTCACTCACTCCTCACTCCTCCCTCCCTCACTCCTCCTCCTCCCTCCTCCTCACTCACTCTCCTCACTCTCTCCCTCCTCTCTCCTCCCTCCCTCCCTCCCTCCCTCCCTCGCTCGCTCACTCGCTCGCTCCTCACTCCTCCCTCCTCACTCGCTCACTCGCTCACTCGCTCACTCGCTCACTCACTCCCTCCCTCACTGCTCACTCAGCTCCCCTCCCTCCCTCCCTCCTCGCTCACTCCTCGCTCACTCACTCCCTCCCTCCCTCACTCCTAGCTCCCTCCCTCCCTCCCTCACTCCTCGCTCACCCCTCACTCCTCCTCCCTCCCTCCCTCACTCACTGCTCCTCCCTCACTCACTCCTCCCTCCACTCACTCACACTCCCTCCCTCCCTCACTCACTGCCACTCCCACTCACTCCCCACTCACTCGCTCACTCGGTTTGGGATCAAACATTGCTTCCCATACTGCATAGTGATGAGCACAGGGCTTAGTAGTGATAAATACATAAAATGCATGACATATCTCATTGTTTCCAGGCGAAAAGTACCGTTTTAAACAACCGTTATATTTTCAGTGTTCAGCAGCTCTTTCCAGTCATCAGTTATCGGGCTTATTGAGTTTAGGAACGATTAGCGGCATGAACAATTGACAGAGTTTTGGCCAGAAATATCCCTAAACCTTTTGCCACATGGAACCCTCACACGTCAAAGAGCATATCGTTTACAATATATTATTACCATTTAATTTTAATTGTTGTCGAGCAAGACTTATTTCTTTCAATAAAAAATGCTAAACCTTCTCAGTGACTGCACACAAACAAGTAAGTGCAGTCCAACCTCACAAAAGAGAGTTCTTACAGCTTGTCCAGCTTGACATGATCAAGTGAATACTAATGTATTGCGAATGGTTGGGTCTATTATTGTCAAGGGGTGCACCTTTGTCAGTTGATTGTCAACATGTCCGAACAGCCGAGACAAGGTTGTCGTTTAACATTCTCTGCTCCCCTATTTAATGAAGTTAACTCGACCTGCCGTTTGCGCCAATTGACCTCACGGGTCATGCATATGTAGAGTAGCTCAGGTCAAGCTGAACAAGCTGTATTTCCAAACACAACTAACATATTTTACCATAACTCCAACTTCTCTCGACAGATGAGATCTGAGTATTGAAGGCCAGATCACTGCAATAGTGGTTTCTGAGGGGATGGTGTAGAAGAAGGGTTACGTTGCAAATCTTTGCAGAATTTAGTTTTACCGCTGCCTCCTATATACCCGTATATAGGCAACATATAAAGCCTTTTGGTTCCCGCACGTGTGAAGACCTCCCAGGAAAGAGCAGGTCATTGCCTTAGTAGTTGCTGCAGAAATCTGCCAGAAGAATATGAAGCACTACTTTGCAGGTCTTTGGATAACTTCAATGATATGCAGTTTTACCACTGCCTCCTATATACATGTATACAGACAAGACATAAAACCCTTTGGTCCCCGCATGTGTGAAGAGCTCTGTCATCGTGTCAGTGGATGCACCAGCTTCATATTTGAGGTTGCTGATCTTTCCTGTCGAGTAGATGGCCCAGTCAACACGAAACGGTCTAGAACGGATACAGTTTTATCAACGGACCCCTTACAGGTAGGTATAAAACATTTACGACAGATAAAAAGATGCACATATTAAAGACAACTTACAGGTACGTATTAACACATTTACGATTGAGACAACAATATGTTATTAAAAAATGAAACATACAACTTTATGGATGACAACACCTTGTTTATTGCGTAAAGCGACGTTTCGAGGTAGATTCTTACATCGTTATAAATCTAAAAGTGACTACAACCAAATGGTGAGAAGCATATATACATGGTATGTTGTGACAAGCAGCAGATTAACATTAACAACGTCATGTAATAGAATAACAAGTGGTACATAATTGGAAGAGGCCAGTGAGGAACTAAAAGCAACAAATAGCACTAGTGATGAAGTCAATAAACAGGGGGATTAAGTAGTAACAACAAATAGACAGGGTGCTTTAATAGTCTATAGTTTGATTAGTTCTTCATAGGCTGATGGTTTGTGGCGGCGGATTTCGATGGCTTCCAACAGTTTTCTTTTTGTGAAGTGCTGATTTTTGGTTGATAGGACTTCGAATTTGTCAAACTTGATTTGATGGGTAGGGAATTTTTGCTGGTGATTTGAGAGGGCTAATTTGCTCTCTGCCTTGGCTGCAGAGGTTGTATGTTCTTTTATGCGGGTGTCAACGGGACTGGAGGTTTCACCTATATAAGAATCTCCACATTCACAGTTAATCTTGTAAATCACTCCTTTGGGGGGTTGCTTAGTGGAGGGTGGATTACGGATACATGCTTCGTCGGTTTGGGTTTGTCCTGGAGCGTGGTGGAGATGGTCCTCTTGACTAGGTTAGTCGGATACTGGTTGAGGTTAGTGAAGACATTTTGTAGGTGGTTAAGTTCATGTTCTAGGTCATCGCTGCTGGAGCAAATATTCTTGGCGAGATGACATCGAACTTTGTTTTAGGGGGGTGGTTAAAGTAGAAATGAATGTACTGGTCGGAATGGGTGGGTGTTCTGTAGACTTTGGTTTGGATCGTGTCGCAGGGGTCTCTGGATACAAGGACATTATGGAAGGGGAGTTTGTTGTCGTTCTCTGTCTCCATAGTGAACTTGATTCGGGGATGTTGGGTATTGAGGTGCTGGTGTAGTGAGGTGGGATGTTGGTCTTTTCCGAGGATGACAAAGGTGTCATCCACCTTCCGATACAAGCACACAGGCTGGATGGGGAAGGAGGCCAGGGTTTCTTCTTCAAAATGGGTCATGTAGATTTCAGTACGAATGGGTGAAAAAGGGAGACCATGGATCTGTTCGAAAATGTTGTCTCCCCAGGTGAAGTAGGTGGATGTTATGCATGATTTAGTGAGGCTGATGATGGAGTCTATGGAAAGGTCGATCCAGGTTGGAGATGCGCTGACGGAGGATTTGTAGGGCTTCGTAGGTGGGAAGTTTGTAAAGAGGTCAACAACATCGTAGCTGATAATCTGGTCGGGTTCAGTAATGCTGCTTATCGTTTGGCAGAAGTCTGTGGAGTCTGTGATGTAGGATTTCGCTGTTTTACCAAGAGGGGAGAGTATTTCGGCGAGGTACTGAGTGGTGTTGTAAAAGACTGTGTCCCTTGAACATACAAGTAGTCTTGCCTTGATGAGGTCTTTATGACTCTTGATGGTGGCGCGGGCATAGGGGTGCTGTGGATGCGAGACAGAAAGTTCATAATATGGTTGGGCGGTAATCTCAAAGGTGTCTTTCATGCGTTTCAATGTGGACTTGTGCTGACGTTGGAGTGTGCTGGTGGGATCCTTCTTGAGTTTTCTGTAGGTGGTGGGGTCGGTGAGCATCTTGTTGACCAGGGAGTGGAACTCAGACTTGTCAAGGATGACCATGGCACGTCTCTTGTCAGCTGTGACCTTGGCTATGTCTGGGTCTTTCTTGAGGTCTTTCATGGCTTGTTTCTCGGCTAGTGTAAGTTTAGGTGTGTGTCCGAGGGCTTTTGAAGAATGTGGCTCATCTGGTGGCGTAAGTAATCAATCTTACCTCCTGGGGCAAGTTGCTGGAGACCTTTCATAATGTCGCCATGGTTTGGTGGGTACATAAGTAATGGCCTTTGGCTAAGAGGTTGATTTGGTTTTTGGTGATAGTCTTGCTGCTGATGTTTATGACTGTCGTCTTGATGTACTATGCCTGGGTCACACTGGAGTCCGATGTCTTAGAGTTCGATCTTTTATTGTCCTGGAGTTGATGCAGCTTGTTGAGATGGATGGTTTTGGTTTTAGAGTCCAATTTGTTGTTGGCTCGGTTCTGGGCACTGCATAGTTTTTTGAAGAGATCAGGCGACATTGTTGAGTTTAGTTATTGAAGGTGATGATCTATTTGGCAGAAGGTAATGGTTTTCGTTTTTCGATGATGCCTAATCCTTTCAAGGACAAGCTTTGTCATCCATAAAGTTGTATGCTTCATTTTTTGACTCACCAACTTCTAGAATGCCGATCAAACAATTAATATGTTATTATTCTTACCATACAAATAGAAGTATGTTCAGATGTCGTTGTTGCATGAGTACAGCTTTCTCTTTGTATATATTTTTGGCTTTGTAAATTTCCCTTTCATTGGTATATCTGAAAAGTATATTTTTTCGAACCCAGCCACTGCTGGAAATGCCTGATTTCGACAATGTATATGGTCTCCTATAGATTTGTTTCAGAGACAGTGTTTTGTCGTGTCCAAATCAGTTCATGACCATCCTCACACGGAAGAAGCATCTCAAATGTATCAAATGTAAGTGAATATTTTAGCAATGTCTGTGTGTTTGTTTGTTTGTCTGTGCGGGCGTGCGTGCGTGCGTGCGTGTGTGTGCGTGTGCGTGTGCGTCTGTGTAGATATGTATGTATGTATGTATGCATGTACGTAAGATAGTGTCTGTGAATGTTTGGTTCCAAAAACAATATCTGTCCGCAACCAGCCGAGTCTGATTGACAATGCTGTCTCAAGTCACGTGCTTCGTGACTGTTACGTACCAATATGGCTGAAATGTGGCTTTAAGTTATAACTCACTCACTCGTGATTGTTACGATGTCCTTCCGAAGTCACTCAGTTTCAGTGCCAAACATTGGAATATGTTCCTTCCAGATGTTCTGTTTTGTATGTCGATAGATTCCGTAATGAGAGAAGAAGAACTGACCGAATGTTCACCGAAGGCACGACTGCTGGTAATAAGACTCTATTCAGAAAGTCAGCTAACCTTTCATCAACTGTTCCTTGGTAATGGTTCTCTAAGAGATTACCAGTATCTCAGAGAAAGGCGGGTTATAAGTGTTGCAGTCCTCCAGAAATCAGAAGCACTGCTGATAGCTACAGCTATGCATATAATGTCGGTACCTGTCGACACCTCTGATATATCGGTCATACAACAAGGAAATAATGGTGAGATCAATGGCTGTAGATGAAGAAAAGGATATCCTGTTTGTAACATCGAGGGGAAAATTGGAGAAGATGACATTAACAGGCAAAATCCTACAGAAGTTCCCAACAAGGTTCGACCCCAGTATAATGGTGCTTGATACTTCGCAGCAAATTATTTTTGGGCGATCATATAACAGAATATTCTCCATATCATATGAAGGTACAAATATGCGAACACTCCTTAAAGGAAAATACATATCTAATTTGGTATTTGATCCAGATCGGTCACTTCTTTATTACATCAAAAGCTCTGAGGTATTAGGTTTTTCTTTGTCAATGAATTTGAGCATGAGAATTATGGCCCTTTCCTACAAAATAAACAGCATGGCTTATTTCAATAATGAGTTTTATGTATACGGGAGTAGTGGTGAAATTGGTGTAATAACAAACTGGAAGTATACAAAATTGACAAAGTTACATGAAAATCGCCGAAAACATATAATGATACGCCTTATACAATGAGTGAGTGAGTGAGTAAGGTTTTACACCGTTTTTAGCATTATCTGTTTTCGGACAAACAAAACATATACTCTCAATGATGCGGCAAATAGCATTGGTTTACAGTTATTAGAGCACTGTTTTGCTTGTTTGTTTGTTGTTTAACACCATACTCACCAATATTGCAGCTATTTAGCGGCGGTCTGTAAATGATCGAGTTCAGACCAGACAGTCCAATGATCAATATCGATAATACGATGACATGTGTCAAGCAAGTCAGCGGGCCTGACAACCCAATCCTGTTACTCGCCGCTTATGAGAAACATAGGATGCTGAAGACCAATTCTAATCAGGATGTTAACGTGTTCTGTTTGTTTTAAATACCGATTTAAAAGTTATCTAAAGAACTTAATCTGACCGTTTACCTTAATTCATGTACATTACACTTTTTTTCCCTAGAAAGCTAAAAAAATATTTTCCCGACACCGACAAATGTATTATGGACCTGTTTAACTATAAAGATGTATTAGGTATATTCTGCAAATTTCGGTTTGGTGAGGTTTGACGCTAAGATTGAATGTGATCAACAATTGTGTTTCGAAATGAATTTCACTTTGTATCGGTGTGCCCAGAAACTGAAGACCCGAGTTTGTGGATTCATACTTTTATGAACACCAGACTTGTTAGAAACTATGTCAATTACTGTCGTAAAGAAGCTTACCAGTTTAATTGTAATATCATGTTAGATCAGTTTGTATATGCATGTGTATTTACTTTGACCAAGCGGTTTGTACACAAATAAACTTGTCTTGTCTGCAACCTTGAGTCTGATTATATTAGGTACGTGGGTGTTTTATTGGGCAAAACGTATTACAAATACTCTGTGTTCAAAGAAATGATGTTCAGAAAGTGCCACATGAAGCACTAAATGATGGTGTCAGTATATACCCCTTCAGGTAAAACAACCAAACGCAAATAATACAATGTTTTTAGATTTTTCTTTCAAATTCCTTCACAGCAAAACAAAACGTGGTCTTTATTAAGACTCTGAACTTCAATAACTGGGCGTACTTGAGTAAAACAAGTACTTGTTCCGGAGAGGTCGGTGCGTTTTAGTGTCCTCATACTCCATTCGTGAAGTACAGAGTCATAAGTGTCTTTGTAGTCTGTCCAACACATTGTGTGGCTACAGCGAAAACGTTTTGTCACTTCAATGATCATTCTTTGAATCAACAATTGATCCTTAAACCCCAGTATCATTTCTGATGGCTATCTACTCCAGGTAACTAATATGATTGCAGGTGCAGTAAGATGACACAGCATCTGTAACACAGCCAGCACAATACATAGTATTGTCTATAGTGTATTCAGGTAAAGCGGGGACCTTTTGACAATCAGTCAAATCACCTTTCTTTGGGAAAGACTTTTTCGATCTTTGCAGAACTAAGAGTGAACATGCCCTGGTATCCTTAAAAAACCGCAGAACGACTGAACAGCATCATGACATGAAGCTATTGAGATAGTCAGTATGGGAATTGCTTCAACGCCAGGAGGCTGCTAATTTTCATTGCCACGAAAGCAACATGTCAGCACTGTTGAGACGTTATCAGAAGACTAATGAAGTTGCCGATCGCCCACGTACAGGAGTTCAACGAGTCACAGCCCACCCACTAGGTTATAAAATACAGTGCTGACTTTTTCATTTCAGTTACTGATCGTGACATTAGGAGATTTCATTCTGTTAGCCCAGGGGATCAGGTAATTTTCGAAGGATAATGTGAACATCCATTGGCAGTTTCGGACCTGCTGCTGTCGCAACTGTTGGTTCATGTGAAGGTGCCTGACAAGTGTTGGCAGACAGATCAGCCGGTTCACGGCGCTTATACAATTTTGTATGAAATATCATAAATGCAAGTTTATGCTCTCTCTCTTTGCTGCTTCAACGTTTTGTCCTTGATCCGTGACATTTCTGGTCATCCTGTTGCTTTTGCATACCCAAGAAGTTGATGTGTCCAAGATTTACTTGTACGTGCTCTGTGACTCTCCTTGGGTGAAGTCTCATTTCCAGTTTGGTTTGTGTCCCGGAGGGAGGTTGACTCGACTACCCAGAGGAAGATAAGTTTATTCAGAGCATCCAGTCGCCCATTTCTTTTATCATCTTTACGGGGGAAGGGAGGAGAAGCCCTACCCAGGTGATGTGCGTTTTGTTCACGGAAATCCCCCCCCACTCTTCCTCCCCCACCTCCCCCCAACATGTCATCGAATCCCCTTTGTGTAGATCGATGCCCATGAGGTTGACCACTGGATTGTCTGGTCCTGGCAGTAAGTGTTTCCACACCATAAAACCCAAATAACTCCAAAACAATAACAGCAACAACCCGCAAAAAAACCCACAAACACACCTCCCCCACAACAACAACAACAACAACAACAACAAAAACAACTGAATGTTTCCAGCTGACCAGAACTAACTCCAATTTCGCCAAAAAAGCCAATCACCAAAGCAATATCATAAATTTACCCAGACCCAAGTAGGCATGAAGACATTATTTTGAGGAGTGTCGATAGTGTTGATAGATTAAAAAAAATCAGACGGAAAGTACATTTTCAAATAGCAATTATGATTGAAGTGTTGATTCCCAGAAGCAATTCCTGACTGTCACCAATTGTTCGGGGACCCGCTGAGTGTGGGAAGAATTATCTCCATGACCAGCTGACCAAAGCCCTGGCTTAAAATATAACTCAACCGTGTATTCCATTTGCAATATATCAACGCCATTTAATGTGAAATTATTGTAAGGGAAGACTTGTATCTTTAGAAAAAAAGTACTAAAAATGTGCAGTGGCTGAACGCGTACCAATGATTGGTTTCCAACTTCCTACAAAAGGGATTTGTCATTTCCAAACAGTACATAGAAAACCATCATAGAATTGAATATCCACCTGACCAGAACTGACTGGTTTATTATAGGTATAAATTTGTTGACAGAGCTCTCACTTCACGAGACCAGGTCATTGCCATAACAGTTTCTGAAGGAATCTGTCAGCAGAAGCTGAAGGACCTCTTTGCACGACTTTGCCTAACATCTATAACACGCAGTATTATATATAAAATAAAATGTTAATAAAAAATGTCAGTTGTCAAACTTTGTATTTCTACATATTAGTATAATTGAAAACCATACTTATTTCATAATTTTAGAACCCTGCCACTGCAGGAAAACCTGTTTCTGACAATGTATGCAGTCGTCTACAGATTAGTTTCAGGGGCGGTGTTCTGTCGTGTCCGAATCAATTCATGACCATCCTCAGAAGGAAGAAGAAATCCAAATGTGTCAATTGTAAGTGAAAGTTTTGTATGTATGTATGTATGTATGTATGTATGTATGTATGTATGTATGTATATGTATGTATGTATGTATGTATGTATGTATGTATGTATGTATGTATGTATAGTATGTATGTATGTATGCATGGATGTATACGATTCTCCACATGGGTACAATGTGTGAAGCCCATTTATGGTGTCACCCGCCATGATATTGCTGGAATATTACTAAAAGCGGCGTAAAACTGAACTCACTCACTCACTCTGCTAGGTGAATAATATCGTAACAGACTTTACTTCTATTACCACCGTTATTCTTTCATATGCCGGGGCGGTGGGGTAGCCTAGTGGTTAAAGCGTTCGCTCGTCACGCCGAACACCCGGGTTCGATTCCCCACATAGGTACAATGTGTGAAGCCCATTCCTTGTGTCTCCCGCCATGATATTGCTGGAATATTGCTAAAAGCGGCGTAAAACTGAAATCACTCACTCACTCTGCTAGGTGAAGACTATCGTCATAGACTTTACTTCTATTACCACCGTTATTCTTTTATATGCCGGGGCTGTGAGGTAGCCTAGTGGTTAAAGCGTTCCCTCGTCACGCCGAAGACCCGGGTTCGATTCCCCATTGCTAAAAGCGACGTAAAACCATACTCACTCACTAACTATTGTGTTTTGCCATCATAACTATTTGACCGTAATATGTATGATTTTGTAAACCTATGACATTATAGAATACAATTGTTGATCATATAATTTTCTTCGTTGTTGGTTGGTTTCATGCTTCATGTTTTGCGTATATATTTCTAGGGTAGCTTACTATTTAAACGGTATACATATTTCTTGAAACGTTAAAGGACGCGAGAGGTCTGTATAGTTACTTCGCTTCGTCGCGCCAGGATTCGCTGATGGCGGGTTCCTCTCTATCTGTGTGTGGGAGGTGGGGTAGCCAGGTGGTTAATGACCGCTCGTCACGCCGAAGACCCGGGTTCAATTCCCCACATGGGTACACTGTGTGAAGCCCATTTCTGGTGTTCCCCGTCGTAGTGTTGCTGGAATATTGCTAAAAGCGGTGTTAAACTAAACTCAATCTATCTCTGTGTGCTCGTGGTTTCTACCGTAACCCATGAGCCCTGAGCTACAGCAGTGATGAAAATCTAGTAAGATATCAGCAGAAACAGGTCAATCAACATACGTACACCACACGCACATCGGATGAAATGTGTTGACGCTTGTGTATTATTTTCATTGTATTTATTATTCCATCATAATACAACCGAATATACAACAGGTGGGGAAAACAACGGTAGCGATAACAAGTTTACATGGCTTAAATTACGTTTTAAGGATTTACACGTTTTAAGGAGTTACGGACGTTCTATCCCGATTGCAAATCCTGAATCAAGGCTTTACATTACGTTGCTCGTGGCCTGGAAAAGGTACAAACATGCCTTGCCTCATCGGAAAGGCTTCCCATCAAGATCTCTATCATTCAAGCAGCGGACAAAAAAACATGGCGAGGCATTAACACGGAGGAATACAGTATCGTGTCTTCTCCTGAATGCTGCTGCTGCTGCTTGGGATCTTCTCCTGAATGTTTTGTTCGTTTATGACGGGACAGGTCCTTAATTGTCAAACTGTAGTGGTTCATTCAGTTGGACTCTAAACGTCCAGGGTGTATTGTCAGGATAGCTGTTTTGACTGTCTGTGATACGAAGGACCATATATTTGTCTATGATGTGTCTTGACACACAAATGACTCTGAGAAGGAAGTATCAATCCATTTATACTGTGGGATAACGATAAATATCCGGTTCGGGAATCCAGGAATTATATTTTCTTGGCCAATGAAGCCATTTTATTAACACCTCCTTCTGCTTGTTTCGTCTTCTCTTTTTAATAATTTCTTGAATTCAATACTCTTGATCTGGGTTCTCGTTTGGGATCATAATAGATCCTATTCAAGTACTCTTCCCAAGGTGCCATCTTAAACACAACTGAACATGATTCACATGCACCATGTCATTTAAACAGATATAAAAACCAATACAAAGTTCATACACATGAATGACAATGTTTACAACAATAACCTTCAGATGATTTTGACGACATAACAATCCAAGGAGCCCCTCCAGGTATTATCAGCGTATTTCGCCATCAGATAGTGACCCCTACTTGGATTTATCTCTCTCTGACTTAGCACTTTCAAAGCTGGACATGGTCGAGACAGTTGTCTTAGTTCAAGTTGTGTTTAGAACACATACAATGTGATTTCTTCTTCATTTACATATCAGGGTAAATTGTTGGCTGAGCAGACGTTACCACAGACAGATCACTAGACACATTTGGTATTAGCGAGGACCTTATCAGACCACGGTCAGTCCAACAGCACTCAGGGGCTTATATACAGATAAAGATGCCTGAACACAGTTACTGGGTACATAGACTGGGTTGCCGTCTCTTGTTAATGAATTCATCAATGATGTACTTGAGGGATAACGAGACAGTTGGATTACCCATTAGTTTGCTTGGCAATCAGAGTATGGGTCTCGTGAGGGGCTCATCTATTTGAGGACCAATTAGGGTTATTTAAAGTCATATGATGTATCTTATCACTTCTTTGAGAGGCCTTTTAGAAGTTGTATAGATGAAGGAAAACCAAGTTCTATGGATAGTCAACTTCTTTATTGCAATGAGTAAAGAAGTTGACTATCCAGCACTTCACCTATTTCCGTTTTCACAGAAACAACTATTCATTTATGGATTCAATATTTTATTTAGAATGTCATGGCATGCCCTAATGCGTCTCTTGAACTGATAAGGATGGGGTTTTCCATTAGCAACCCACGTATCAGGTCACTAGAGAGGGATTAAAAACCCATTAATCACACTTATCAAATAATTGAATAACAATCCAGAATTGAAAAGATAATTTCTGAATGGGCGACTAATATTGAGTCAGGGTGATGGCGTCATTGGCCCTCATTTTCCTACACCTAGAATGAACTCGAGGTATACATTTGATCATACAACTGTGTAATAATGTCATAATTCAAAATAGAGGATGTTACTGTCACAGACCACTAAGGTCAACCTAAAGGTCACACACACCTGGGCCGGAAGGGAATAATAGGAGGGAATACAACTGGGGCCAACGGGTTCTTTAAAACTCACAAATAGAATGAGTAAAGTATTAAAGAGGAAGAGTGGATGAGTTTAGCTTTTTGCGGCTTTAAGCAATATCCCAGCAATATCACGGCGGGGGACACCAGAAAGGGCTTCAGACATTGTACACATGTCTGGACTCGAACCAGGGTCTTCGGCGTGACGAGCGAACGCTTTAACCACTAGGCTACCCCATCGCCCCTGCATTATATGATGCTCCGATGTACTAATACAATGAACTGATCAGTTAGACTTTAGAGACGTTCGATAACGGATTATTGTTTCTCAAGTTCATCAAAATATTTGTAAGTATCTCCACGCTTCAAAGCGACACGACCGTTGTATGTCGAAATAAGACTACTTGTGTGATCCCGAAAAAGTTTGGCGAGGATGATGTTTATTCCTGATTGGTCAAAACGATGACACTTGTGGTATTTGCGGATGTACACGTTACAGTATATGACTTGTTTAGGTTCCCGAGGACACATGCACTTAGCACTCATGGCACAAACTGCCCATGGCTTCACAACGGCCCCTCGTACCCACTGCTTGTTGTGAAACATGATGAATGTTGCTTCATGCTCAAACACTGGAGCTAGGGTGCAGACGTCTTCCTTCATGTAGTCCATTGTAACCTGTAGAGTATGCTGCCCCACCGAGTTGGTACCTGAGCGTATGACCATGCCCCGACTTTCTACATCATCTAGCAGGGGTTTGATGGTATTGTTGGAGATCCTCACAGACGCGTCCATCCACACCAGTATGTCCACCTTATGTAGGTTAGCCTGAAAGTACAACAGCTAGATGCAAATCTACACTAAGATGTTACAGACGCGTCCATCCACACCAGTATGTCCACCTTATGTAGGTTAGCCTGAAAGTACAACAACTAGATGCAAACCTATACTAAGATGTTACAGACGCGTCCATCCACACCAGTATGTCTGCCTTATGTAGGTTAGCCTGAAAGTACAACAGACTAGATGCAAACCTCTACACTAAGATGTTACAGACGCGTCCATCCACACCAGTATGTCTGCCTTATGTAGGTTAACCTGAAAGTACAACAACTAGATGCAAACCTATACTAAGATGTTACAGACGCGTCCATCCACACCAGTATGTCTGCCTTATGTAGGTTAGCCTGAAAGTACAACAGCTAGATGCAAATCTACACTAAGATGTTACAGACGCGTCCATCCACACCAGTATGTCTGCCTTATGTAGGTTAGCCTGAAAGTACAACAACTAGATGCAAACCTATACTAAGATGTTACAGACGCGTCCATCCACACCAGTATGTCTGCCTTATGTAGGTTAGCCTGAAAGTACAACAGCTAGATGCAAACCGTCCACAGTATGTAAGATGTTACAGACGCGTCCATCCACACCAGTATGTCAGTATGTCTGCCTTATGTAGGTTAACCTGAAAGTACAACAACTAGATGCAAACCTATACTAAGATGTTACAGACGCGTCCATCCACACCAGTATGTCTGCCTTATGTAGGTTAGCCTGAAAGTACAACAACTAGATGCAAACCTATACTAAGATGTTACAGACGCGTCCATCCACACCAGTATGTCTGCCTTATGTAGGTTAGCCTGAAAGTACAACAGCTAGATGCAAACCTATCCTAAGATGTTACAGACGCGTCCATCCACACCAGTATGTCTGCCTTATGTAGGTTAACCTGAAAGTACAACAACTAGATGCAAACCTATCCTAAGATGTTACAGACGCGTCCATCCACACCAGTATGTCTGCCTTATGTAGGTTAACCTGAAAGTACAACAACTAGATGCAAACCTATCCTAAGATGTTACAGACGCGTCCATCCACACCAGTATGTCTGCCTTATGTAGGTTAACCTGAAAGTACAACAACTAGATGCAAACCTATCCTAAGATGTTACAGATGCGTCCATCCACACCAGTATGTCTCTTTTTGACACTACTATATTTTGATACTGTCAATTCGGGGAAAACCGTGAAATGTAAATAATTTCATTTTACAAAAGATCATTTAAAAAGTGATTGAAATCAGTTTTACAGTTATTATAGGCAATCAAAGGTACTGACGAGGAAAGACCAACCATAGATTCTGAAGCAGTAGCTAGCGGTCTTCACGTGGGAACCTCGAAGAACCATGATTAGTGGATTAAAATAGACATTTAAGGACAATAAGGTCGCCATTGGTGTGTTTCATTTAACTTGATTGTCTTTAAAACTAATTAAAAAGCCCAAATGTAAAGTCAAATTAAATTTACGGCGCCAGATTCCAGTGGTATTCGAAAGCAGTTTTAGGAATTGTTCCATTGTATCCAGACATCTTTATCTCACTGTTTCAATTCTGTCGAGAATACGGGTATGTTCCGACTTGGTTGTACAAAGACTTCTCCTAAAGAAGTTAATGTTTTGACTTCCGTCCTATTACGAGTCTGTATCCACAACATATGTACTGTATGACCTACAAATCTTGTCTCCTCCTACTACACCCCCAGTAGTAGTATTTACATGTAGCAGGGTGTACCGTAAAGAGATATTGGGTTGCAAAGACCCTTAAAGAAGCCAAAACGTAATGTTTATTAACATCTCAATGTGTTGACCTCCCTGAGCGATTACTTGTTATACTCATGTTATAAATTGAATGAATTATTGGTCAACTCAACTTGTAGGGACAGGTAATCGACCGCGGTCACCAACGGTATTTGCCTAATGATATCGTGATTGCAGTCTGCTTATTACTGACTGTGAAACTTTCAGAGAACGTGCCACAATGCTTTGTCTTGTACCAACTTCCAACATGCCAACTGCACACAGTCGTTCCTTAAGTGACAGACGCCGCAGGCCAAAAACACGTTGAATTGAGTTTAAAACAGTAGCGGAACAGTATGTTTTATTATCACTGAAATGTACAGCAACACACTGACAGGTTTCACTATACAATTTTACTTCGACCATGTTAACCTTCACGTCATGAAAAACGCTTGCACGAATTCGGTGTGTTTGCACGAAATTCACAACACATTGTGAATAGAATGATCATTTTCTAAATCCATATACACTCATACATCTTAGTTCCCAAATCACCACACATAAAAAAAGAAGAAATATCCCCACTTTTCTTGACAGAATATATCATATAGTGATGAGACCAGGTGTTGCCCCACTTGTGTCATCCATCAAAATACCCGTGAAGATCACTGTTAGAATTGATCTTCGGTAACCCGTGCTTGTCGTAAAAGGCGACAAACGAGATCGGCTGACACAGGTGGTCACGTTCGCTGACTTGGCTGACACATGTCATCGTATCCCAATTGCGTAGATCGGAGCTCATGCTGTTGATCACTGAATTGTCTGGTCCAAACTCGATATTTACAGACCGCCGCCATATAGTCGGAATATTGCTGAGTGTGACGTAAACTCACTCACTCCCTCATCCATTATTAGCATATGGTACAAGTCGAAATTGCACCAGACATCAGTTTGGTTGGACGAAGATTACAATTTTCATCAAGCTAAAAGTTATATCACTTATAATACTCTTTCGCTGGAGTGCATTGAAATTTGAAGGGAAAACAAATGATCTCGACATTAGGCGAGTCTTCATCTTCCACTGTAACATCGGATTCATTTGGAAACAAAGCTGACAATGTCATTTGCTTGAGTCCATTTCATGTTTGCCTATTTTATTCACTACCTCAGTAAAAGATATTAACCTGATAACATTATAAAGACTGAATCTGTAAATGCTGTAAGTGACAGTATGGAGTGTTTACTGCAACCTGCTATATGTTAATTACATCATTACTACTTCCAAACATACTGCTTCACTCACTCAGTATCCCTGATAACACCAAACACTTACATTTTGTCATCTGAAAACAAATACACTGCACGTTCACTTCCCCGTTCATTTCAGCGTCGGTATGTTTACAGGAAACATAACACTACACTGAAAACACGTGTTTATCTCCGTCCTACAGTGTATATGCACTGACAAGTTCCAGCATGAATCTTTATAGAACACGGACAATATATATGTTCTGGGATTTATTCACTAAATATAACATTTTCTCTCGAAAACACAGACATGTAAAAGTAGGGAAACAGAAAATAGCACACCTGTATAATAATTGGTTTCCATGTGTAGCATTTAAGATCCCGCAAGCTTGAAGGCATGAACTCCAACGGAAATCTCCGAACTTCACAACGACAATGTTTCTCCATCTGTGAATAAAAGCGACAAAGCCATTTCCATAATCGTCAGTAATCGTAGTTAAAGGTGCAGTCTGTTTTCCTATGCCGCCCACATTATAAGGATCTGTTTATGGTGTATGACATCTTGCTCCACGCATCACAAACACATGCAAAGTCAGGCCAAGTGAGCCATTGTAAAACGTGCATCAAGGTATATATTGTCACTGTCACTGACGGGGTCTTCACATCCTTTCATATAGTGTTAAGACCCCCGTCAAGGACAGTATGTACCTTGAAGCCCGTTTTAAGCGTTACAAGCCCCTGTGATTGTACCTAGCAAATATATATGCATACTGATAATTATCTTATGTGTGAATGCTTTATCTTGTGTATGTTACAATTTGAAAATGATTCCTATTAGCTGAAAATAATTGCATGGCTGATAATAATATATATGCTGCGTATATGACGACTGTCATCAAGAATATAACGTGTATATATTGTTTATAGTATTTTGTATTATGTTCCTTATGTAAATATTTTGTATTATGCTCATAATCTACTTGTATTAGGTTCATTATGTCAGTATTTTCTATTATGTTCATTATGTCATTGTATTATGTTCATTATGTCATTGTATTGTGTTATGTTCATTTGTCAGTGTTTCGTATTATGTTCATTATGTCATTGTTTTGTATTATGTTCATGGGGCGGTGGGGTAGCCTAATGGTTAAAGCGTTGGCTCGTCACGCCGAAGACCCGGGTTCGAATCCCCACATGGGTACAATGTGTGAAGCCCATTTCTGGTGTCCCCCGCCGTGACGTTGCTGGAATATTGCTAAAAGCGGCGTAAAACCAAACTCAGTAAGTCAGTATTATGTTCATTGTGTCATTGTTTTGTATTATGATCATTATGTCTCTGCATTATGTTCAATATGTCAATGTATTATGTTCATTATGTCATTGTATTATGTTCATTTTGTCGTTGTATTATGTTCATTATGTCATTGTTTTATGTTCATTATGTCATTGTATTATGTTCACTATGTCATTGTATTATGTTCAATATGTCATTATGTCTCTGTATAATGTTCATTATGTCATTGTATTATGATCATTAAGTTTCTGTATCATGTTGAATATGTCATTGTATTATGTTCATTATGTCATTGTATTATGTTCATTATGTCATTATATTATGTTCAATATGTCATTGTATTATGTTCATTATGTCTCTGTATTATGTTCATGATGTCATTGTATTATGATCATTAAGTCTTTGTATTATGTTCACTATGTCATTGTATTATGTTCATTATGTCTCTGTATTATGTTCATTATGTCATTGTATTATGTTCATTATGTCATTGTATTATGTTCATTATGTCTCTGTATTATGTTCATTATGTCATTGTATTATGTTCAATATGTCATGTAATCATTATTATGTATTGTTCATTATGTCATTGTATTATGTTCATTATGTCATTGTATTATGTTCATTATGTCACTGTATTATGTTCATTATGTCATTGTATTATGTTCATTATGTCATTGTATTATGTTCATTATGTCATTGTATTATGTTCATTATGTCATTATATGTTCATTATGTCTGTATTATGTATTATGTTCATTATGTTCATTATGTCATTGTATTATGTTCATTATGTCATTGTATTATGTTCATTATGTCATTATATTATGTTCAATATGTCATTGTATTATGTTCATTATGTCTCTGTATTATGTTCATTATGTCATTGTATTATGTTCATTATATCATTGATTTATGTTCATTATGTCATTGTATTATGTTCATTATGTCATTGTTTTATGTTCATTATGTCACTGTATTATGTTCATTATGTCATTGTATTGTGTTCATTATGTCATTGTATTATGTTCATTATGTCATTGTATTATGTTCATTATATTATGTCATTGTATTATGTTCATTATGTCATTGTTTTATGTTCATTATGTCATTGTATTATGTTCATTATGTCATTGTTTTGTATCATGTTTCACCTGCTTTCGTTCAGATGCCGTCAGTCCCAGGTCATAGAGCACAAATGTGTAGTTATTAATCAGAGGGAAGACATTCCTGTGGAGGTTCCGGATCAGGGCCTGGGACTCGTAGAAGTGGTTGCTGGATGTTGCTGTGACAAACATTGTTCTTTTGCCGGTAGGGGGCTCTGGGAACAGTCCCATTATTAGGTCCAGATCCCGTAGATTCCGTTCCGACATGGTGGACAGGACACTTCTCAGGTTTTCTTCGAGTGTTGTGGACTGTAGTACCGGGCAGTCATTTCGAACACATGCCTTCCCTGCAAGGAGTGAATATTATTCTCGGTCATTTTAAAATTTACATACAATTACAAACGCCATGGTGTTGGCAGTGAGAATAGTTAAAGTATAACTTGACTGACCTGGGAATGATTCCTTTTCACATGTTTTCACTTGATTGTTCCTCCATTGTCCCGCACGTTGTAAATCTGTTTGATCATGGAAGTATACTTTTAAGTACAATCAGATGACATTTTGCGTCAAGAATTAACAATGGCTGCATGTTTATAAACAAATGACGTAACTAATGAATCATAAACTTGCAGTGATCATATGTTGATGTCATAAGTCATTTGAATGACATGAACCAATCATTGGTCGTCACATTCTGCTTAAATCTTTGACAGTAGGCCGGTGGGGTAGTCTTAAGCGTTCGCTCATCACGACAACAATCGGGTTCGATTCCCCCATGGGTACAATGTCTGGTGTCCCTCGCCGTGATATTGTTGGAAAAATGTCAATGAACAAATGTCAGTTGCCATTTCCATTTAAAGGGAAGCGAAACCGATGGGCAGGAGTTATTTCCATGAAAACATGCCAACAATCATGATCAGGGGTGTTATTAACAGCGGCAAGCGAAATAGGTCATTTGCGGGCCAGGTGTACATACCTGTAGTTTTCTTTGCGTACTCTTCAAGTATAGCGGCAAAGCGAAGTCTCTCAACCCGAGCTGAAATATATTGGTGTCAAACTATGAGTGACAGAGTTACTCGCCCCTATCAACAGTTTCACGTAGCACAGCAGCTGAGAAAATTTAGGTAATTATCAAAATACCGTTTTGACAACCAACCATCAATACTACTTTATAAGGACTAAAGCATCTTTATGAACTAATTATGATAGACCTAATGCCCTATAGAGCGAGTATCAGGCTCTTTACACACACGAGGGGTAGTCGACAGGTCGGCCATTGCGACACCTGCACCCAGTACACCGCCAGCTCTGATGTTCCCTACACACTAATTCTCTGTGCTGTGCTATTCTCGATACATTTCATCTTGTCCTTTTCCCTTTTGCGATATGTGGAAGTTTGTGCTGACACCAGGCATCTTGATTTTGATCTATTGTCTGGGGAAAATGTATGTTTACATTTGTGCGACAATAGTGACACAATTTGTGCACAGATAGCTCAAGAATGATCAGTGTTTTGTGCTATAAACATCTCATAACAGCAACTCTCCCTGTAAAGAGACTGATTCCTTCGACGTTACATCTGTCAGGAGATATAGAACTCAATCTCGGTCCAAATGATGGTCTAAATGAGATGAAGAGGGACATTTTGAAACAGATATAGGTGAGTGAGGATAGGATATCTAGGGATATAAGATCTATAAAAAATGACATTAGAGGCATGAAATCTGACATACACGAGCTCAGAGAGGACATAAACAGTAGTAAACAAGAGCAGGATGTGATGAAACTAGATATTGAAGCTTTGAATGACAGGACAGTGGGTATCGAGAAGTATCTGGAAGACTTAGACACTAAATTCAAGGATCAAGAGCACCGTAGCAGACGAAACAATCTCGTGCTATACAATGTGCCTGAGAGCGGTCAACGAGAGACATACACTGAGAGTAAGGATAAAGTTATGACAGTTCTCAGTGAGCCCAGGGTAGTGAAGAATCTCCTACCGTTAGCCCCTCGGGATATAGAGAGGGCACACAGACCTTCTTCTAAGAGGGGTGACAAAACTAGGCTCATTATAGCTCGCATGTGTCATTGGGATAAGTGGCAATCGGTGAAAATGAGGAGTGTTTTGAAGCACCAAGGGGTGGGGATTCCTAACGACCTCACAACTTACCAACGCAAAGAGCTTCAACGACAACGCAGTGGAAACCCTAACATGCGTTACCATTTCAACAAACTGATGGAAGCCCCTAAGGACGACCCGTTAGGACGACAGACACACCTGCACCCACCCAGTCTCCCTCACACCATACCAAGAACACCTCACCAGAGCATAGTAGCAGCAGGCAGGACCCCGCCATGGTCTCAGGTCAGATTCGCGTCGCCCTCCCAGGAACATTCTCCCAAGGGATGGGGCCAAGGGCACGATTCTCGTAAACATTTTACGGCGCATTGGAACTACCGGAGCAGAAAGATGTGACCTCCTCAAGTTTCTTTATTAGACGTTGTATATATTAATCTACCGGATGTTTATATTCTCTGTGGTGGAGATTTTAATGCTCGAACTGGCACAAACCCTGACTTTGTAGAGGATCACTATTTATTAGAATACACATAAAATAGAAAATGAATCCTATTGGGACTTTTTAACTGAAGTTTTTTAATCCAAAAAGGTTTTTTCCGCCAACAGAACTCTAAACAACTTTGGTAAAACCTTACTAGATTTATGTTCTACCTTATCCATATTTTGAACGGATGTTGTGGTAGCAATCTAGAAACTGGTGATGGAGTGAGTGAGTTTAGTTTTATGCCGCACACAGTAATATTCCAGCTATATGGCGGCGGTCTGTAAATAATCGAATCTGGACCAGACAATCCAGTGATCAACAGCATGTACATGACATGTGTCAACCAAGTCAGCGAGCCTGACCACTCGATCCCGTTAGTCGCCTGTTACAACAAGCATAGGTTACTGAAGCTTCATTCCCGGACCTTCACGGGTCTCTAGAAACTGGAGATTTTACGTATATAGGTAATATAGGTACAAGCCTAACCGATTATATTCTCGTCATCAATATTATTTGTCTTTGAGGGTGCTTTTAGTATACAATCTCGAATCGAGTCAGAACATTTACCAATAACACTCTCAGTAAAGACAGATTATGTTAGATCTTTTGACGGATGTGACAACAATCCAAATAATGCTTATAGTGGAGCGGCTAAGATCAGGTTTTCATAAGATTGTACATTTGATGATAAAAGCACCAAAAGTGGCCATCACATAAAATAACATGTCTGAAATGATTTCAGATATGGAGGAACCTCAAATGTTGTATCTTGTGCGCATGCGCAGTACATAAACTTGGACATACTATTTTCAGCGTTTCTCCTTCAATCTTTCATTACACACCCACATTTTCATAAATAGTGATTTACAGGTTCGTGATAAGACAAGAAATACATAATTTCAGAATAATACAAAACATTTTGAAACAATGAACACTCCCTCTTCCCACAATGGGAGCCAGTAGATAGCATTTTGGACTATTGAACTTTGAGAAAATGTGTGTATGCTTGGGATTTATCTGATCACAATTGAAAATGAACATAATAGGTGGCAAAAGAAATGCAATAAAATAAGAAAAATGTCTTGGATATATTTAACAATCAAAATCTATGTGATTATTCCCCATCTTCATGGCGCAGGGGCAAGCAAGGGAGATACTTCAGATTGTCTTTCGCAGGGGAGCAGTCATTTTCCCGGTACAAGTGATACTTAACTTGTTTTATTGTGTAATGGTAAATAGAAATTAATTTAGTGCAAACATACAACTTGTATCGTATCCTGACTCATACTAATTGCTTATCTCATCTCATTTCCGAAAAGAAGTTGAAAATCAAGTGCTTGTGTTCCCCTTCAAAAGAAGAAAACACATCTAACCCCGACACATTCCAATCTGCGCATGTGTACCGGATGCACGTGACCAAGCCTGTGACTCTTCACTCTCTCATATTAGTGCCAACAGGGTTAGACTCACATCATGAAGGGACAATATCAATCAACTGCTAGCTTGGATTTTAGATGGGTTACTCATAGCTTCCCCATCGAAGGATCGTCCTCCTTCACCTTACCACCAACTAGAGCAACTTTGCAAGTCATCAAGAACCAAAGCTACCAGAATGCAGGGTCTTCCCAGTTTGCTCAGCTTGATACTATTATCAGACGAGTCTTCCTGGGCCTCACCATATCCAGATCCATCAAGAAGGTGATGATATCACACTTCAAAGAACGTATGCTTTTGTCCAATGTCAACCAGCAGAAGTACCAGGAGTCTATGTCCGACCAGATCTGCTCAGCATCAGTGGGACTCACCTAAATACGTAGACAAGGAAGTATTGGCCAAACTGGGGCCTTCTGGAAGACCCATTCATTACAAAAATCTTAAAGAGTAGATACCATTCCGGTGAACACGACGCCATCACTCCACTCTATCTTCCACAGATACATTACGCAGAAACCCTACAACCCAAGCTCACAGATGCGATTGAGTCACTTCTATTCGAAGAAGCAATAGAAGTTTTACCTCAAGAGGCACTCGACCCAGAGTCCTGCTCCCCAAAGTTCAACAATGATTACTTATTGAAGACAGAGAAGTTCAGAATTCTCCACCGTTTACAGCTGAAGCACATGATAAGACAGAACAACTTTTTGGCAAGCATAGATTTAAGGGATGCATATCTGCATATGCCAATCCACTCAGGGTCCAGGAAGTATCTACGATTCATGAGCTTCCTGCACAACAGGGTAATTAGATGCACCTTCTACCTAGGCAATGCATTAAATCACTTCAACAAGCCGTTATACTCAAACGTCAGTTGCATTTCACCCTATAGTTTGGCATGAAATGCATGTGGACCCGTTTTTTTTTGTAAATATCTCTTCATCCAATGACCCAATCGATCTCAAACTGTGGAAGTGGATGTTTTGTCAGACAACCTGATCACATTGTAAATCACCGATTTTATGCATTTGTATTAAAGGTCACATAAACCCTAGGGGGTACAAATACATAAATCACTAACTGGCATCGTTATAAATGAAACCCCGTCATTAAAACTACTCATTTCGACCTTTAATTGACTTAAATCGACCTTTTTGACAACAGTGCACAATTCTCACCCGCGAACGAAATTTCAACCAATCAGAGCGGGCGCGCCTCTGTGACGTCATATGAGGAATAGCTTTGAGAGCCGATGCAGAATTCATCTACATTTTAGGGGGTAAATTATCGTGTTTACAGGCTTGTATAAACCTGAAATCGTGACAATTGTTGTGGAAAATGAAAGCTATATGTTCTCACAATCTACTGTCATTTAATTTTGTCTCCTGCTTTGCCTAGTTTCCGAGTTACAACTTGTTTTCATAGACGATTCTGTCAAAATCGATTGGTGTCGTTAGGCCCTATTTGTATAATGACTGATCCAAATTGATCCCATTTCTGTGTTGTTTTACCTCGATATTTAATCATGTCATGTAAAAATTTGTTTGTATTCTCAAAACAGTGTCGGCCCATAAGTTTTCACATGCAATACAGCAATTAATACTCCCTCGTTGTAACCCGTGTTAGGTGGTATAAACCTACACATGTTATTTGTCATCATTCACTTGATGGTCAGTTAATGAATTTATAACAGGTATAATTAGTGGTAACACACTTAGATTACCCGACAAAGGTTCCCATTTGGCATTTCTTGTGTCTGGAGTAAATATTCAACATTATAAACATCGATCAAAGGATTAACCGATAACACGCTGATTGATAAATTACTTTTATCTTACACAGCGGAATTGTCAGAAGGTAGTGTTTATGTATGTAGATTTACTAATCTATACTGAATACACTCTGTCGTGTCGGTGTCTGCGTAAAAACAACGTCCTTCTTTCAAAGGATTAACCGGCAATACATTGATTGATTGCCCATTATTGGCTAACTAAATTACTGTTTTTAAAGAAAGGCGGACATTATGCAATTAGTTGCC